AACTCGTAATTATTTTTCTGTGTAGCTTGTCTAAAGCTTCAGGGGACTTGTCCCACAGTGTTTAATAACTAAAGATTCTATTCTCTCTCTCTTTCTCTAAATGACAAACATATATATCATACATAATAATATTAATGCGATATATGTCATTAACATCGGATTAGATATCCGAAATACGCACGAGATGACAGATAAAACAAATAAACGAGGTACCTTCGCGCGATAACGCTCGGGGCTTTCCGAAGAGCGATGTCTGTGACAGGAATTACACGGCATAAATCTACGAAACCGCGGGCCCCCAGGTAATTACCATGAACAGCGAAAGCCAACAGTGCGGAGGTAGGAAATAAACGTTTTCGTTAAAAAGCGATACTTAATGACTCTATATAGGGGATATCACGGGGACGTCGCGTAGTCGGTGCGCGACCTGTGCAATCTGCTGCCTCGTTACGAGCAGGCCGCGCTATATACTCGCGCCCCTTAAGCTCGATCATAAAGAGCGACGATAACAGCTCGGTCTTACGGAGTGACGACGGCACACGGTAACGCGCGGCCGTGTCCCACTATTACGGCAAAACGGATTCATAAATTTACGCTCCGTCGCTGTTTTCCTCGTTACACGCCTCGCGTGTGGTCCGATAACGCTCGTCCGACGCACGGGCGAACACGCTAAAGCGCTTCTTCTAGATTGTGCATTAATAACAACGTCCCCCGGCCACCCGGTCGTGATGACATCTCGACATCGCGAATCCGCGTCGAGGGAGTGGCGACGGTCAAAGATGGAAAGAGGCGCCTTTTTTCCCCCGTGCCCTCTTGGCGGAACCGAAAGACGCGTATTGCGTCACGTCGGAAAAATCGGCGCGAAAAATCGAATCGCTAAACTCCGTTAATAGACACGTTATTTCGGAGCGCTCGACCGAGTTATGAATATAAAAATTCGTATCAGAATTTAATCTGCGCGATGAGATACAGAAATATAGAAGTCCGTCCGTATTGGGATTTAATCCGCGTGATAAAATTTTTACGGCGGAATATAACGTCGCTACTATTGCCGGCTCGCGCGAAGCGTTTATCGATATTGGAGGAGCCGCGTTTCGACGATCTGAGATCGACGGTACTGCGCAGGAACGCGGAAGCGCACTGTAGAGAGACCGTCCCCAGCTTCCAGTGAGCTCGGGACGCGGAGGTTCCAATGACTTTGTTCAGATATTAACCTTTAGCATTTGACGCCAACTGCGAGGAGCATTCGAAAGGGTGCAAGTAGAATCCGAAAACACCGACGAAATTGTTGTAAGTCGAACCGGGGATGCTGGAGAGATTCTACACTTTTGGCACCTTTTGCTCCTAGAACTGTCAATTCGTGAAAACATTTGTTTAATATACGAATTATGTGGCTTTTGTATACAGACCGACAGTGTCCCACTAGTCAGATTGAGTGAAAGAACAGCGTGGTATCATTGAAATTAAGTTTAGGAGCTTAACAAGAAGTCTATTCGCTCGAATAAGTTATAGGTTACCTAACCTATAACTTATTCGAGTGAACAGATTTTTATACCATGCTGTTTCTCTGATTTAGTCCGAATAGTGGGACACTGTCGGTTCGTACACAAAAGCCACATAATTTGTATATTACACAAACGTTTTCACGAATTGACAGTTCTAGCAGCAAAAAGTGCCAAAAGTGCAGAATCACTCCAGCATCTCCTTAACGTGCAAAGCATTGTCATTTAGCAATTCATACACCTTTAAGTTGCTCCGCAGAACTCGTAAGATGTATCGGCTTATGAATACTGCCGTCACGCTGCGCTCAGATAAAACAATTGTTCCGAGGGGGAAATCGCTGAAGGTAAAAGGCATTGTAGTGTACAGATTTGCGGCATTACTGGGCATTACTAGGCATTTTTTGGAGCATTAATTTGGGCATTATAAAGATATAATAAGATAAAATAAGATAAAACAAGATAATAAGATAAAGTAATGTTCACTGAGCATTAGTGGGCATTGGTGTACAAGATTTCGGTCAGCGGTTTCCCCCTTGAATTGTTCTCCTCTTACGCGACGAGCATTCGGCATATCAGCGGTATGCATATTTGTTTAGTTCATTTCAAAACTTTTACACGCTAACCGAGCACGTTGTCGACGGCGCGATATTAATTATACAACTGGATATGCGTACATGAAATTAATTTGTTACGTTGCGGTCTACAAGGAGATCAGTCAGGTAATGGAAAATTACTGATTGCATAATTATCTCCGTATGCATATAATGCTTAGAATCACCGTATCGTGTTTCCGCTTACGAATCTATGTTGTGAAAAACGCAGGAGAGTTACGTCACAAAATGCGCTATGTTCGTGAAATATATTTGCTCGTCTTTAACGAAAAGAAATAAATACAGCTAACTATACCGTAGCTGTATGTGAAACCGAGAATTTCCGGGTTGCGTTATCATCGAATGTATCGTAAAACTCGCGATATCCTTTGTTTCACGAATTGCTTCAGTCGTGCATCGATATTATCTCTCCCCCGCGGACTGGTCGATACGCTACTCTCCGCAGCGCGAAAAGATTCTGGAAACCGAGCGCACGTCGTTGCGACGAAATACAGCCGATTCAAAGGCGAGTGTCGAGCGCGGCGCAGTTGAACCGTGCGAACGATTATATTTTAGCGAGAATAATGCGCAAAGTTGACAGAACGTGAAAAAAAAGACTCCTCCGCTCGCGGCTCTTTTCCGGCTCCGCGTGGAAAGGAAAAACACAAGCGTAAATCTGTCAAATACTACGATTTCGCGCCTTTTCGTCTTATCGTACGTGCCGCTTAACACCGTCGACTCACCGTGGGCGTGTAGAAGGGTGCTTGCTCGGCGCTCAAGCTGGGAAAGTACGCGGCCATACCCTCGGACGCCGCCGCGGCGGCTGCGGCCGCGTACGGCGCGCTGTACATGGAAAGCGCGGCCGTGGGTAGGCCACCTAGGCGCTGATAGCCGCCCAGCAGTTCGTACTGGCAGGAGCAGACGGTCTGGCCCGTCAGCGGATCCGTGAAGATCGGTCGGCCGGTATCGCAGCACCTGGCGGTGGGACCGCCGGCCGATGGCGGCGGATGGCCCTGGGACGGGCTAACCGAGGTAGTGGGACTGCCGGGCGGCCTCACGATTGCGCTCGTCACCGCCATCCTTGCTTGCGACAGACCGGCTACGTCCAGGGGATGATTCGTCGTCGTACTGGCGGTTACGCTGCTGACCAGGGACGGGCCGCCCGCACTCAGGATCGCACCGGTTACAGGCGAGGCCGAGGACGGCGCCAGCGACGAGTTCACTGTTACAGGACACTGCAACCAACAAGATCGCAGAGCTCCGATCAGTATCCAGTTCAATTGACCTAATTAAATGGGGCTCTCCATGCACGAATATCTCTTAACATTTTCCCGCGAAAGCAGTGGGTGCACGAGGTCTACGGTCCTCGTTAGGGATTAGATATATCGCTGCTACGAAATCTCCAAGTATCGACGACGTGTTACGTGTTGCAGCTGGCGGATGGTAAGAGGCGGCGATCCCCCGTTACGAAAAGGTGAACGCAACTGCAACCATCGGGCCTCGCCCTTTTATTTCCACGACTAAACCGAAAGTCTACGGGCCCTGGGCATAATGCCGGCGGGCCTCATTAATTCCATATCAAACACTACGGCTAAATAGATTAGCGGGTTGAGTGCCTTTCGCGCCCGGGAACCTAAACAAACCCCCGTGAAACACCCCTACCCGGAGACGCTTCCCGCGATTGTCCCAGCCAGCCAGCCAGCCAGCCAGCTATCCATCCATCCATTGCCTCGTTTCGGTGGCCCCAAACATATTGTCGAAACCCCCGTACGCATTGTGCTGGGGCGAAAAACCCATGCGCGATGCGCATTATGGCGTCGAGAGAGAGAGAGAGTCGCGTTAATGCGTGTCCTCGATGCGTCGCCGATGTTTCGAGGGCCAACTGTCGCGCGATGGCCAAACGTGTGTGCGTGCGTACGGTAAATACCGCATCTCCGCTACGTTTCGAGCGACGATGAAGCTAATATGGAGCAGTTCCCCGTTATAATTTCGGGTTGAAGAAGATCGCGCGCAATTTCCGCTTGTATCGACGTATCGGTTTAGACACCAAAGTACCGCCGACGTACGTCCAATTTTAGAAAAGGAAGAGGAAGAAATTCTCTCGATTTAAAAATATGCTCGACATTCACGTCGCATTTAAAGGCGAAGGAAACCGGTCCCACGCCGGATGCACATACATACATCCGACCATTCTCTCCCAGAAATCGTAAGATTCCAGGGAGTTCGAGGGAAAAGCCGGCGACGGCAAGAATGCGCTTCGGGGCTCCGGATCGGGCAAAGGGTTAAACGACGAAGCGTGTTGGCGAGTGTCCGCTACCACGGGCTATAATTCAGTCCTAGTCCTCGAGAGAGGAAGCCAGGCGGCGGACCTGAGTTACTCGATGCGATCGCATCGAGGCTGCTGCTTGCCAGTCGCAACCGTGCAAACCGCAAGGGCAACTATATCACCTCTGCAAGGTGTCGCGCAGTGGTGCCTAATGGCGTTTTTGCGAACAAAGTGTTGCGTTACATTTTTTTTTTCGTTGCAAGGCAACGAAGCAGATGCGACATTTAAAAGATTTGATTTGATAACAAAGCTGGATTTCCTTCCAATCTTATTTCTTGTTCTGTTTTTCCTTCAAGAACCACTTGTGACAATTGTTAAACGAAAACTGTAATATAATTGATATTATAATTTCTATAATGCATATTTATAGAGGACGCAAAACGTGTTTTACGGAATTCCTTAATTTGCCGAAGATCTCGTTATAAATTTGAGATGAACTTTTAATTATAGCTCAAGAGGGATCCATATGTGCCAGCGAAAATGGACTCCTAGTAAAAAAAACTTGGCGGAATTCAGGTATTATGTTAAGTTCAAGCACCGCTGGTTTCGTCCTCGTTGCTGTCTCCTTTGAAGCAGCAAGGTGGCTTCGAGGTAGTGTTACGTGGCACCCAGCGTGCCGGTAGCGATCGACGAAAGCGATAATTATTCGTATGCCGTATTATCCGTGGCGATATATCAACGCATTAGCCCTTCGTTCCCCCGTTTGTGCCACGAGCGCGCTAATTGCCATCGCTGTGATTTCTCTCGTAGACGCCTCCCGGTGAAGAAGAGTGCGCTGCGAATTGGCAATCGCGTCGCGATGCAGCAATATCGGTTTTACCGTCTCTCATGCGTTTACCGAAATTTCGGAGTAAATTGCATCTAACTGCGTGTCCCACATTGATTAATCTTATGATCGAAGCGCAGGCATCGAGATCGAAGACCCGCGGATTAATGAGAAAGCTGAGAATTTGCCACTTCACTCGTGCTAGGTGTACAAGTTTCCTTTTTCTTTCTTTTTTTTTTACGTTTGATACGAAATTTCGCGTGCCGTTGAGGGCGACTCTTATCATCCGCCGCACGCCAGCCATTCGTTAAAACTAGAATCGTATCGTTCCGCGTATCGTTCGGATTTATATTTATGGATATTTTAGAGGAGAGGGCAGATATCAAAAACGTCAACTGGAAAAATAATCAACTCAATTTTTCTCGATCGTGTTGATGCCCCGGCACGCGAGCGGAGACCCTCTTTTCGCGCACTTTCTTCTCGCGACGTCCGCGTAATTATACGTTACTTACACCCGGCTCGGTGTAAAGTTTCGCGCGAGCATCCGTTACCCGATACAAACCGGTTGGCGATAAAGTGAATGAGCGATCGTCGCGATCTACCTGCGCCGCGAGCGAACGAGACGAGCGAGTGAGAATTCATCGTCGAGGAATATATCGTGGATATTTGAACACTGATGCGGAGGAGAGCGCCGTGCTGCCGCTTAGCGTCGACCTGACATCTTCGGGGAGTTCGCGGAAAGTTACACCGGGATCTCCCGACCCGCACGCACCGGTTGCCGCTCGGGTTCAGGTACTCGGGATACCTGAATCGCGACGACCCATCGCTCAGGCGTCGCGAAAAACCGATATCGCGCGCATCGCGCCGCGAGTCGATGATCGATGGATCGTCGTCTGGGCCTGGGGGGAAAAAAAAAAGAAAAAGAGCATGTCCTCGGATTAAAGCGGCCGCGAACGGGCGCGTAGCTGACGAACGACTGAGGATCAGGCGCTCGGTACACACCGGCGTCGACAGCACCTGGCGCACGCATCTAACTTACGACCCGATTTGTATGCGCGGTGTAACGAACATGTCGACGTAGGAACAAGTAATAGCGCGATCAGCGATGTTTCGCGGCAGCGGTAAAAAGCCTCGTCGCAGAAAACACTGCTGAAGGATACTGCAGGTTCAGTAACAGGCAGGCATTCTCGAAAAGGTGCGGGGATACCTAACTGCTTACTTGAGAATGTATATTAACATAGTGATAAACACGGGAATAATTTCTACTTAAATGTTCACATTTATGCATACTCGTCTCCAGGTTAAACGGTAAATAATTTTACATACGTGTAAAATCAAGAGCCGTAATATCCGAAGAGGCGTGACTTATTTTGCTTCGATTCGCGTGCACTATGCACCCTCAGAAAGGATTTCTGTTACCGAGACAAAAATATTCTTGACGCATTTATATTTATTTAGTATAAAAATAAGACAACATCAAAATAAAATCAATAATTCTTATTCTCCTCTATCGAATTAAAAAAGATTTATTTACTCTATTGAGACAAGAGTAACTCATAAATGTAAGTTTATATGTATATTCTTGAGTTTAGAATAAATTTCCCCCCCCCCCATCTCACAACGTACGAAGTTGACACCGCGATATTCGACAAAAGACGACACATGCTATCATTTTATTCTAGATTCTAGAATTTTTCATTTAAGATTAAAATATTCCTTTCTCTATGATAAAATGATTGGCGCTATATTAATCCTATTTTATGATACATTCAAGCGTAATAGCACTGGATCCGGAAATTTTTTCTGTGGGTGTAACAATTTAATTCGTCAATTCGATACCGCGATATGCGAGCGAGTTTCAATTGACGGATCTTAGACAGTCCACGGTGAAATTTATTCAAGTGAAATCCGAGAGGAGCCACGGGCGTCTTTCCAGCGAAGGGCTCGATAAACGTAAAAAGCCGGGTTGACGAGCACGGCGGTGCTCCGGGCGATACGGGGTGTCAGATAGAGAAGCTTGTAAAGAACGCGAATAGGAGGTACGTCGAATCGGAAACGAACGGCGGACCTCCGTAGCGCGACTGCACTTCCAGGATTTATAGGCCATTCGGAAGAGAATCGGTTATCCTGTGGACACAGATGCGCCGGTGTTTGCGCGCGGAGCATTTGTCACGCGTGTCCTGCGAGCGTAAAGGGACCGGCGCGGCGTCCGATTCGATCCTCTTTATGCGTGCCGATGATGCCCTCTTTGCAACGAGGCCCAGCCAAGTCAATATTGACTCCAGGCCAGATTGATGGACCTTCCTCGCGTGTGTGTTTAGGCCTCGCAGCACTCACTTATGTTCCCACCCCGCGCGACTCGTCTATCCATATTTCTCTTTGCTTCCCCTTCTTTCTCTGTCTTCCCGCACCGCTCTCTATTTGTTAAATGTTACATTCGGAAAAACGTGAAAATCCTCGCTAATTCCCTACAGCCAGACAACACGAATGCGATTATTTCACGAGCTCGAGATCGACTCCGATCGATGGAATAAAACTTGCGACGCGTTCGTGGATCCGCAACTTCAAGTATGATCTTGAAGACTAGTCGCGTATGAAAATTAACGAACGAACAAAAATATCTATTATATAATGAAACTGTCGAAAGACGTTAAAGTTAAAAAGGAATTGTGCAGTAAAGACCTATAATAAAATTAATTGGAAACACGTCTATTGGAAAACAGGTTTTATATTCCTCGTCCATGTGATTTTAACCAGTCGCGTAAATCATCGGTAAGTTCGAAAATACCTGCGCGAGTCAAATTTTAACTAACGCTACCTTAAAAATGTAATGACCCCCTATTTCCGGGGATCAGTTACTCTTGCAAATTCAATTTCTGCCGTGACAAGGAATCAATATCCCCAGTCATAGCGTTCGAAATATTCCGCGTGAATTGTTATTTTACTATTATTAATTAATCAACTCGCTCGTCCATATTTTCTTTTTGGGGGAAAAATGGACGGAAACCGCGAGAAATAGCATTCACGATCCTTTCGCCGACCGCAATTGCGATTGCGGGGAAAACGATCGGGGCGGTCTGTGATATCGCGTTTCTCACCAAGTATCATCGATAATTTGATCGCGCGATATGCAGCTAAATTAA